GGCATATAGACATAAACATAACATTTAGTTGAGCATCAAAGGAGACTACATACAAAACAGAAGAAGATCAACTTTGCTTGGTGGAGTTAAACTGTACTGTGCGGTATAGGTTTTAGTCATTGTTGAAAGCCGTACGGCGACCTATAGTTGTTAACTTCTATATGTCATTTGGTCTCTGGTGGACAACTGTCTCATTGGCAATCATATCACATCTAATTTTTATATTAAACTGTAGTTTTAGAACGGTTCTACAAATTGGCTTAGGTTCAATATGAATTCATTTTATTATCTTTTTTGCATGAAAATAGAAATATTTACGGTTTCCACTGTATATAGCAGATACAGCTTGTCCACTTGAATACCTGAATTTACCCCAATATTTTAGTAGGTTCATATTCCTCAATCTTTGTGTTCTTTACGGTTGTTTGTATATTATTGTTTTTCTCCTTACCCAACCCCTCTCCTCTCTTCCGACTTCCGGGATGCATTTAGGGATGGGGAATTCCACCTGTCTGTACTAAAATTTACTTATTGGCTAAAGTTAAACCACATGTTAATATCTCAAAGAATAGAATAAGTTTCCGCCAAATAGTCCAATATACTGACCAATTGAATTATTGGATTTGTATCTGCATATAATAATACTTTATTCCAAAAACAGATACAGCTGATAGGAGGCATACATGTAGTGATAAAAATTTGTATGCACTAATAACAAGAATTTTTACAAAATATACTGTAAGTTACACAATATATAAATATAAGAGTGTACATGAAATACAATGTAATACATAATACAAAATACGAGCGGAGAACGATGTACTGTAATGAACACAGTATGTGAAAACACATATATATATATATACATGCAATTTAATTACAAGTTTTTCTGCTAATTTTAAAAAAATATACCCAAATTATTTAATTCTTGAATATTTCTAACAGATAACAACTGGGTAAGTTTGTATGCAAATGGATTTCGCCTATAACATTTTTATATATATTTTTTCTCGGATTTGATTCTCGACATTCAAGCTTAAAAGTGGTGTTTATCAGCTAGTAGCTAGTGTTACAGTTTGTACATAATCTTTCATGTTTATCAACATTATAATATCTGCCTGTTTCTATACTTAAACTATGAGCTGATATACGATTTTTACAAATGTATGGTTTATATATAGTTAACATATGTATCTAAATAAAATCATGTGTACGATACATGTATATGAATATAAAATGCCATTTACTTGAATTAAAAAAAGACGCTGTTGCTTCCCTCATGAATGCACCAAGCATTTTTCTTTTAATTGTTACAGAAAAATATCTGTACAAACTGCACTTTGCCTTAACCAAACATAATTAAATCCATATCTTTATAAAATACCTCTAATCTGACAACACCAGTTTTGTTTATCATTCTTTCAAATACAACGTCTTTCAAACAAGGATAGAAAGACTAGTCACGGAAAAATACGTCGTTTCCAAACGAATGCCACGTTCATATATACGATATTAAATAAACATCTTTGAGTCGTATCTTAAGAAGTTTCTATCTAATACATGTCAGACTTTAAATATTCAAAATTAGGGACATTTTGTATAAGATAAAAGTATAGGTTAAAAACTGAGAAATTATATATTATACATGGTCATTATTTCGCCATGTTGAATTGTATATAAATTCATTGTAACATATAGATAAGAAATCAATAAGTTATAAGAATCTTTAAATCTTGGAAGCCGTCTGTATTAATCTTTAAAACAATTTATGAAAAAGTTTATTCATCTAATGCAATGGTGTCACTTGCTAAAATCTTACTTCCGTTTAACCTCCAAAACCATTGCGGTCTTGAATTTGTTCTCCTGTTATTTATATCCATAATATCAGTTCTCTCTCCAATCACATTTTTCACTTGACACCAGTCTTTATATGCTAATGGATAATACCTTTGTGAAGGATGGAGGGTTGATCTTTCACAAGCTTTCACTATATCCTGCATAAGGTCCCTGCCGTATTTGTCCTCACGGTATAATTGAAGACGAATTAAGCTGGACACAGTTGGTTTATTAGCTCTTTCTATGTGTATTCTTTGTTCTTCAAAAGAATGTTCTTTCGGAAGTAACTTTATTTCGGGTTTTCTCTTAATTTCAGAGCTACGCTGCTCTTTTCTGAATTTCTCCATCATTTCCCTTCGCTTTCTTTTCTCAATAATATTTCGTATTTCGTCATAAGAAACACGAGGTATGCTTAATCTATTGGCAGTTTCTGTCGCCTTATCACACGAAACTGTACCGAAAACAGATGGCTTATTGTTTCTTTCTGTATTTGTTGATTTCACTATGTATTCACAACCTTTAATTAATAACAGTCTGTCCTTTTTATTCACTTGAGGTAATATTCGCTGTTTTCGACTCATATTGTCATGGCCAAAATCCAAACTATGTTACTGTTTGAAAAGTGTTGTAAGAAATGCTAAAACTAAGTACAGTTGGTGTATCATTTGATAAATAATTGTCTAATTATTCCAAGGTTGCAATGATTGATTTAAATTTTAATATACAATACTTATACTTTGATACTCTATATTGATAATTGAGGTTTAATCTGGTCATGTCTTTTAAAAATATAATTTAAAACCATTGTACAATACAATATGGTATAGTGGAAATATTTGAACCTAGTAATTTATTTCCAACACGCTAAGTTTAAAATGTCAAATTAGAATCGGTTGTTTGATATTTACGTAAAGGAAATTCCCCTGCCACCAGACTACTTGTATTGGGTGTGCCTTAGGCAAGAGAGTTTAAAGAGATCTTTATATTTGACTATAAATGGCTCATTTCATTTATAATTTTGAAATAAAACTTATATATCGATATACTTTTTTTCTGAAACAAAATGGAAATTATTGCATTTGATGCAATGGAATACCATGTTTGGGACCAATAGTTCATATGTGAAAAAAATCATTTATTATCACTCTTCTATGTCATATACAAAAAGTTCAACGCATTGTCAAAGAAACCATGATAATTCCCTTATTCGCAGTGCGAATTGTGAATTAATTAATTTTTCGGTCATTAGATTTTCGAAATTCAAATTCTTAAATCAGTTAATTCTATAGTTCGTCAAAGTATAAACATGTGACGTCCAAATTAAAAGGGTTATAGTCATTAGCCTGTTGTTTGTTGGTTCCACCTGTGTTAAACACCACTTTCAGTGACCTTGGCTTAATCATTGCGTCATGGAGGAAGCCAGAATACCCAGAGAGAACCACCGACATTCTGCAGGAAAACTGGTTATCCTTATAAAGTAAGGAGTTGTGGTATGATAGCATATGAGAAAACTATCCAATGGACTTCAAATGCCGTTTTGTAAGCATTTCACCGTACGGCCTTCAGCAACGAGCAAAACCCACCCGCATATTCAGCTGTAGGGTTATCTTTGTCAATTAAGATCGGAGTCGAACGCACCTTGTCACAAGCGGGGTTTGAACTCAAAACCTCCGCTTTTACAGGCTAGTGATCACTGTAAATGAACTACTCCTAAAACAAAAACTCAAACGGCAGGACTATACAGAAGAACGACTGATATTGACATTGCACAAGTTTAAGAAATAAGGTTCCAACTTCCTCAGGCAAAGTTGACTAACGGAAGTTGACAGATGAATTTTTCTTTTTAGGTCAGTCTCTTTCGGTCATATAGCTCCCAAACGTTTCTACAAATTTATACATCTCTAACTTTCAAATGTTTAGGTTTTAGAGTTTTTGTTGAAGGTCCATCCAGAGCTTCGGATGCAAGGAATTTAAAAAGTGTTATTTTCATTAAATGTCAAAGTCACATATTAGTTGACCGATTCGATATGCGAGTTTGTCTCAACTCTCTCGGGACATATTTCGGAGTTTTAGATCTCGAGACGCCAGAATAGTCGTCGGATCTGTATATTTATATATTGTCTCCTACTCCCTATTGTGAATTCAAAAGTGAGATTGAATTTGAGTGTTGGGTGGTGCATGCATTGTAGACGATGCTTATCATGTCTACAAAAAAGTTTCGATCCGTTTTGAGTTCGTGTGATTCCCTCAGTTTTTTCTCTTGATGTATACATCCGATATGGATTTACTAGTTTTGAACATAGATGAACTACTTTTCTTCGTTTTTTACATCGCAAGTCAAACATGTCGATGGCGTTTTTTGTTGTGTATGTCTAGGCACTGTATGGTGCTGTGTATGTCTAGGCACTGTATGGTGCTGTGTATGTTTTGGCACACTATTCTAACAAACAGTACTCAGAAGATGTGATCGATAAAGGACACTGCTGAAACAATAGAATCTACTTTATACCAGGGCTTACAGAGAGCAAAGGATGTTTGAACTAAAAAAAAGAGAGAAATGTTTATATTTTAATTTCAAATAGTCAAGCGATTCTTTGCTAAGTAGCAAAATACCTGCATTACCGTTGAATGCATTACTAGTCTTGTTTCACATCGACTTCTTCACGGAAACACAATTAGTATCCTAAAAACTGCTCAGAACTACAAATAGGTTTTGGTTGTCATCATTACTTTGTCGATTTGTTATTTGAAAAGTGTGTAACAAATTATCGACATACTTCTCAAATGTTGATTAACGTGCAGACAGTGTTAGTGTTACTCTCTCTAACTGAAACGTTTTGTCTCCTTAATATGACCAGCATCACTGAAAATTGTTCATCCGACACAGTCAAATATACCTCACTCATTTCTAGTCTTACTTTTGGGGTGGAAATGACTAAGAGACCATACCATTTACCACTGCTACCTTTTCAAATTCTTGTTTTAAAAATAGGATAAGTCAACAGTTTGGAAATGAAAGGCCAACATAAATAAGAAGTATAATTATCTTCAACAAAATTAAAAAAAAACAAATTTATTTTCACATGTTTAATAAAACATAATAATTTTAAAATGTAAAAGTTCTTATAAACAAATTCAATAATGAAAATAACAATAAGGTAGGTACCCTATAAAATGCCAGCTAGAAATATTGAGATAAAGTATAACAAATCAAAATAAAAAAGGTTAAGAAAGAAATATTGAGATAAAGTATAACAAATCAAAATAAAAAATGGTTAAGAAAGAAATATTGCAAAAAATTTAAAAATTAAAAAAATTATAAGATATACATTAAAATAACAAAGGATACTGTATATTGCACTAGAGAAATATTGAACTACAAATTGTAATAAATATAGAAATGGAAAAGAAATAATGGAAATATTCATAATGATGATATACAAAAGAAATGAAATATTGATTGATAGAATCCATGAATTGATCTTCGCTTACAAATTATGAAAAAAAATGAAAACGATATGTATGTATAAATTCAATCTTATTGAAAGTTCTGTCGTAACAATGGCAAGAAAAGCATTAGCATACTGAAATGATTTCCGTATGTCAGTTACTGTTAGCCACTCCGTTCACTTTGGCTTGGTCGGGAAAAGATATGTGATCAGACCTTTTGTCCCTCAAATGAAATACTCTGTTCATGATCATTTCCACCAAAAATCTGTTCTCTTTAGTCAAGTCACAAAATATGTTTTAATCGATAAATATCTTTATCTATTGCTTTTAACTAATCCTGCATCTTTAGCCATACCATAAAACATACTTTCACAGTTATCTAATAAGATTGATGGTGTGTCAAATTCACTTATATTTCCAGCATCCAGCACCATTATTCTAAAAAAAAAAACATATGAAATAATATTTGGTTGTTATAATAATAAAGACATTTTCTTTTGGGTAAGTTATGTTTCTCGAAACGTTAGATTCAATAATAACTCTCTTTCAAAGTTTGCAAGTTTTATTTGAACAATGAATTGAATAATATACCTTATGTATTATTAGCAGATTACTCAGGTCCTTTATAAACATATAACGGGATGTGATATGATTGCTATTGAGACTATTCGTATAAGGTGAGTGTCACGCTCATTGCACGTTATAGACCATTTACAAAAACTCTCTCAAGGTCCGTAGGCGACCTGTTGCAAGGCAATATGTCTGTCCCTAATTTTCAAATGGCCAACCAAATTTTACTGCATCCCAGTCAACCATCCATGCGGAACAGATCTATACATTAAGTGTTCATTTGTTCTTATCCTGAATATGCATGAACTATTTGACACTTTACCTTAATCAAGCAACACTCAACCAATCTGATTTATAAAATGCAGTTGTCCTAGTTTTAAGTTGTAATGATTATTTTCCAGTTTTGGTTTGTATGCAGTCTATAATAAATGTGTATTTAGTCTCTTAAATAGTACCTGACGACCGGTTTTATAATATGTAGTAAAACGGCACTTATTATTCTTTACCTTGTGTAGTCCATGATAGTGTTGAGTCTGTGTGCTATTGTAAGAATTGTACAATCTGAAAACTCTGTTCTAATAGTATTCTGTATCAAATCGTCTGTTTCTAAATCTACAGCTGCGGTAGCTTCGTCAAGAACCAAGATTTTAGTCTTCCTCAACAGTGCTCTTGCAAGACACATAAGCTGTCTTTGTCCAACACTTAAAAAAATATTCCACTTGATCATCATCTTACATTTCTTAAACATGTTTCAAGCAACATGAGAACAATCTTAACCCCAATGAAATAATAACATTTTTGGACAAAGCGGTATAACTCATAATGTCTTATTTCCAAACCTGAAGATCGTAAAGGCAGGTCGGAATATTGACTTTTTAAAGTTGAATTATATCCCTAAGAATTATTTTTATTCAGATGAAGGATTGTACGGTAAACAATATATGTATAATACTTTTTCAAATTTAGTTTATATGTTTTTGTAATTTTAACGTTAATGATTTTTTTTGTATAAACTTGAATTGGAAAGAAATTATCATTTTGTATTTTTGTTTAAAACATAGCCTTTCACGAATCGGAAAGTATTTTACAATTATTAGCTCGGAAAGATTCTCTTAAATTACTAAAGTTCATAATCTATCTGATTTTTCTAATTTCCAATTAACGTTACTGTAAATATCACATTCAATTATGATTTCAACCTTTTATAATGTCTATGGATATCTGATGTACGATTTATTTTTTATTCAAAATACACATTCAAACAAAATATTGTTGCACTGTGTTAGAATTATTACCTAAAATTTTCTCCTCCTTCAGAACACTTGTGATCTAATCCTTCCTCCAAACCATCAACGAATTTCTTTAGATGAGCATGTTCTAAAGCCTTCCATATCTCTTCGTTACTGTACTCTTCGAATGGATCTAAATTCATTTTCATGGTCCCAGAAAACAAGACAGGATCCTACAAGAAAGTTTATTTTTATTCGAATGAAAAATAGTATTGCATAAAATAATAAATGATGGATTAATATAACTAAAACATTTTATATTTTGTATATCTATAACACTTGTGCGGGTATAAAGGCTTAAACCTTTATCATTAGGTTTCATTTTTATTTTAAAGGTGGAGGCATGTTTAATGCCGCGTTTTCTAATGCACAACTTTCATTTGAAATTTTCTACTGTAATATAATTTTCTGGAACCAAACTGTACTTAAAAAGGTTTGAATATGTACCTGTGGTATAATAGTAATTTTAGATCTTAAATCATGAAGGCCGATAGTTGATATATCAATTCCATCAATGATTATTTTCCCTTTAGCTTTCTCAAGGATTCTAAACAACGCCATTGTTAAGGATGACTTCCCTGCACCAGTTCTGCCAACTATACCAATCTAATAAAAGAAAAACATATTGATTTATGTTATATTAGCCTTATTACATACTAATACTTTATAATATTGGTTAATGTTCTGGTATAATTTCGTATGTAAATTGTGTAAAGAATTTTCGTAAAAGCCAAATCATTTAGTTATTGACATATTGTATAGACACCTGTATATAAGTGAAGGCATGTAGATGACTGGTGTATGTGTCTTTTGGTTTTTATATGTTATCGGGCTGCTGCTTCATTGATGTATACCTAAAGTCTCCATTTAAGCATGTGTAAAGAAATATGAAGTCAAATTAATATGGACAAATTACCTTTTCATTTGGTTGTATTGTACACGTAATTCCCTTCAGTACCAAGTCTAAACCTTCTCTGTATCTTACGCCATAATCTTGGAATTCAATGCATCCTATCTCTGGCCAGCTTGAACTAGGTTCCTTCTCTGGAATTTCCCATGCAGCCTATAATCAATATAAATACATTAATTTCAGATTTTCTATTTGAAGAGTTTTTAACGCAAAGGTCACAAATAGCTACGAATAGGATTGTTATAAAAAACGGCTTTGAGAATACTAGCTTATCTATTTTATGAATAGTAATTTACCTAAAATAAGTGGTGTTCAATAATCTAGTATAAGCGTTGAGTAATAATTTTTTTCTAATTTATTGTTAACCTTACAGATTTGTAAAAAAAAATGTAAAAACATAAAAAAAATCTATGAAGGTTAAGATGTATATATACCTCGGTTGGAGTTTCAGTATATTCCTGAATCTTTTCGATCGATACTGTGTTATTTTCTAAATCAGAAATTACTCTTACAACCCATTGCAAACATCCGGTTATCTGAAACAAAAATATATCTTTAGTACGCCAGAAAATAGATAAATATTTACCCTATGCATTCGCTCGTACTTAGTTTTGAATGTTCCTTTGATATCTTTCGCCTCTTTTTAACAATGTTTTATCAATAATTAAAAATCAATCGCTATAGAATAGTCTTCTGCAATTTGTTTACCATGTTTTTGCACGGAAAATCTTCTTGTATTCCCTGGCGATGTAGAGAAGTTGAGGGAGAAATTAATAACAGGTAGAAACAAATACTTTACTAAGTCGTTAAATTGGAGTCAAAATTCACCGAGGACACAATACGAACGAGAAAACACGTTAATAAATTAAAGCTTCGAATAATGCATCTATTGGAAAAAAAAATTTCTTCTGCATAAATCTTATCTGTTTCATTTAACATTTAGAAAATAAATTGAATGTAACAAACTATCTAAAAGATCTATAAAATGAGTCTAAAGTACAACCTACCTCTAATGCATATGTTATGATAAGTCCTACTATTCCTGCAGACAATGTAGCTTTTCCAAGTACCACAAATATACAAACAAACAGTAAAATAAGTGCTCCCATAAACTGAAGTCGAACTGATAGCCATCTATAAAAGTAAAGTAATATTTAAGAAATATGTATGTAGTTATACAATACAAATGAATGGTCAGAAGAAATCAACTATACATATATAGTTATAACTTCTTACATTCTTCATTTTACTTTTCCTTAAGAGTTTTGATTGTTGTTTTTTTTTTATTTGGAGATAATGTTTCCGCATATTCAACACAATTGAAATATAAAAAAATATTAATAGATCCTTACCGGCTTACACCTCCTGCTGAATTCTGAGCTATTTTATGTTCATCAATACGTTCTGCTGATTCGGCAATAAATCGTCCTTGCTGGTTGTAAGCTCTGATAGTTGATGTTCCAGAAATAGTTTCAGCAAATTGGGAGTAAATAGGAGAATTTGCAGATGTCTCAAATCGTCTAAGCTGTGTCGAAATTACTGTATAGAATCTCTACAATTTAAAAAAAAATAATCATATGAATTGAATTCGACCGGCTCCATTTGAAGTGAAAATTAAATTGAAAGTCCAATTTTTTTATATAAATTCAGGAATGAGGAATTAAAGTAAACCTTGAAATTTGTTTGCACAAAATCGTATGAAATCTTTAAATAACCATTTATCAATGATTAAAAATGGTAACTAATGATTATTTACCTGAAGAATGAAGTAAAGGATGGTTATTGGCAAAAGAACACAGAGAAACTGTGGTGTTCCAAAACATATAATCACAGCATTACAGATGACAACAGCAGCACTGATAATACAGTCTTTGAATTGGTAGATTATTTCGTTATCTATCCTGGCAACGTCGTTGGAAAAGCGATTCACTATTCTGCCTACTGGTGTTGTGTCGAAAAAGGTCATTGGTGAACGGAGTATGTTTCTCAGAAGGTTTTTATGAAGTTTTCTTGATGCGTTCATTCTTGCAGTACTGACACCATATCCAACTAGTAGCAAAACAAAACCTGAATAAAACGTTATAAATCTACGTTAAAGACGAATGTAATGTAAATTATAATCTGAAGTTCAACCAATAAGAAGATTGATTTTCAATAGTATTTGTCCCGAATAAGGAATGTTAAAGACTTGAAAAGTAACTTCGAAAAAAAGAAGGATGGTTTTTGGAAATTAAATAAAACTTTATTATTACCTTGTAATGCTCCGATTCCAGCATAGACACCAAGACGCATATTTCTTTGTGTTGTATCAACAGTCCCATTAATATGAGTTGTATTGTCACTCGTCCATTGGCTTATCCAGACGTCAGAAGACCGATGTAGTATTTCAAATGCTATATTGAATATTATAATGAAAACACTAAGTGGAACACCAATGGCACTCATGTAGAACGACATCACTGCACTTCTAGCCTGAAATTCAGTAATAAATTATATGTATGCTTTGATAAGTTTATAGATAATGCATTGATAACATGCAAAACTTAATCACCAAATTGACGATAATCAAGTGAGCGAAAGTATGGACTGTAAAATCAATATTACATGCATTAATTCCAACAGACAACAAAACACAACAACTGAACTGACTAGGGTCAAATTTTCGAGACAAAAAAAGAAGACAGATGATATTAAAAAGGAGTAAAGATACCAAAAAGGGTAAATCTTTATTGAGAACGTATCAAAGATTATTCACAGCAAATAAGCAATTGATATACTATAATGTTTATACCATCATTTTGGATTGTGTGTTTTATTAATACTACCAATATTTTGTTTGTTTATAATTTCTTTTAGGCATTTACTATAAAAGTAAATATTCAATTTTCTTACCTTTCCTGATTCATTGGATTCTTCATCAATTATTTTATCCACGGTTTTATTATCTGTTTCGTTAATGTCATTTGTTGTTTTCACTGTGTTGGAATTTTCATCTTTTGTTTCAGGTAGAATAGAAGCCTCGTCGTTCCCTGATAGTGTTTCTTCCTTATCACTTCCTTTGTTAATCATATAATTGTCAAGAAATTCGGCAAATGCTCCTTTATGGTCAATTAATTCTTTAAAGGTTCCCATTTCTCCGATTTTACCATCTACCATTGTGATGATCATGTCTGTTTTGGGTAAGAAACTAACTCCATTTGTTACCAAAATTCTTGTCTGAAAAACATTACAAAAACAATAAAAATTGATATATATATAAATATAACATTAAGTAAGTAAGTAAGTAATTTTTATTGAAATAAAGTCCAGACATTGGACTATCATCAACTACAACAATTACAAATGAACATATACAAGTGTTCGCAAAATGGAACGAAATTATAAAAACAACAATACATTGAACAGAACAATTATCATCACTGATACCACGGTTGACTTAAGTCCCATGTTATATATATATATATATCTTTTTTATTACAAAGAATTTACAGGTTATCTCCTTTACTACACAACAATAAAAATACTTTAATTCAGTAGAAATAAAATTTATACAGTGAGTGATTAGTATTATACATCTTGTTTTAAAAACCGATTCATATCATACATTTTTTTGACACCTAAAATACATATTTCACATACATCTAAGTCATTACTGCTTACTATAAATTTAAATTTCTCAAACTCAGAAAAATCAGAAAAAGAAGGTTATGTTTCTACATGTTTTATTTCAATAGCTTCACTTGATGTGATCATTTGATACTATTGTGTTATTGCTTGGGTGTACATTGTCTCAAGTCTATGGTAGCCAGATTGATCTTTTTACAAGAACACTAAAGACATTTTCGGTTCTTATCGTTATTTTAATTAAATTGGTCGGTTAAGTTTAATCGAAAATAAAGGATTGTTTTAGGGAGTTGGAGCAGGTTCATAGTTCAAAACAAACAAACATAAAGCTCCCCCAAAATTCATATGCGCATTAGATAATTGTAATAGTAAAGAATAATCTCCCAACAAGTGTGTAATTTTAGAAAACTTCAAAATACCTTGTTTCCTAGTTTTCCCTTCTTGTCGAGTACTTCATCAAATATATGTTTCCCAACATGAGCGTCTACAGCACTAAGGGGGTCATCAAGTAGATAAATATCTGCATCCTGATACAATGCCCGGGCTAAACTTACTCTCTGTTTTTGTCCACCACTAAGATTAATACCCTAAAAATCACAATATATATATGTATGTAAAGAAACTGGATTAATAACTGTTCCCAATACACTGTATCTTAGAAATTTCATTTTTTTCTGTATTACATTGTCTTTAATAATAGTTTTGTCCTTTAATAATATTGTAATTTATATTTTTTTTATATTTAATTGGAAACATACGCGGGTTTCATTGAATATGTCTTCATAGCTTCTAGTGTTCTTAAGCCAACAATAAAAGTACAAATGATGTTTTTACGAACCTTTTCACCTATTTCTGTCTGATCACCACCAGACAACATATCCAAATCAGTACGAAGTGCCGTGGCATTGATGATATCGTTGTATTCACCTTTATTCATGCCTTTTCCGAACAAAATGTTTTTCTGCAGTGATGTGTTCCTAATCCAGGCTTGTTGAGAAACATAGGCCACTGTTCCCTATAATGAGAATATAAGTGTTAGAAAACACTCAAGGTAAAGGTTCCAACCACGAATAATTAGGGTACATTTAAAAAAAAAAGAATAAATCATTACAGAATGAATTTTATCAGATGTATTTTAAAAGTTGACAGACTATGAAATAGAAATAAATATATAACAAACCTTCAGATTGACATTTCCAGACATTGATTCCATTTCGCCCAAAATAGCAGACAACATGGATGACTTTCCTGAACCAACAGATCCTACAATGGCAACGAATGATCCTTCTGGTATGTGGACATTGATACTGAAAATCAAAACACCCGGATGTTATAATGTATGAACGACTATAGTTTCTTGTTAGGTAAAAGACTAGCGACTCTAGTGAAATATTTATAAACTGGGTCTTGAGAAGAGCAAGGCTTATATATGTAATTGTTATTTTCTTTATCAGATGTCTTGACAAAAAGTTGTGGAGGGTAAAAGTTTTTTAAAGGCCGTTTAAAAATGCTTAAATTAAAAATAACAATCTTACTAAATTAAGCTTTTATGGATACATTCATAATTTTAATACAACACAGTGGTCAGTACAAAAAAATCTGGTAATCAATTTATTTAAAGTTGTTGATACGTGTATTTGCTATACTGGTCGTTATCTTCTCTAATATGCAATATTATATAAGATTTTCTACTTACTCATTCAAGGTAAAATCATCTTCTTTATTCCATGCAAATGTACCTCTGTCAACTGCCACTGCATATTCTACAGGGAATAACATATCATTTTTATTGAATAGTGTAATAGACTAAGTGTTTTTGTTTGGCGTTTTTAAATATTGTCCATTTGTTTTATTCATTATGTAAGATAATGAAATTCATTAACAAAATACATGTACATTGGCAAGATGAAAAATTCCATTGATATAAATGAAAAATGTGTGGGAAATTCAATATTGTAAAGATAAAAAGAAACATAGATTGTTGAAATTACACATGAACTTAATATATCTTTAAATCAACTTTCATTTGATAATACATATTTCAAATGAATTAAAATATCATATTTCTTAATAATCTTACTGTTGTCAGAGTTTCTTGTCACGGCTTCTTCATTAAGTTCATCTTTGTTCAAAAATGTTTGGATTCTTTTCAAAGCAACATTGGCCTAAAATTAATAACGTTCTATGTTTAAAATTATATTTTCCAGGATTCTCGATACCCCAATCTTATCTTTGGATTTTCAAAATTGTAAACTCTAGAGCTTAAAGAATTTGAAGAAATTGTAATTCTGAATTCTCAAAATATTACATAAAATATCCCTGCTTCTTAAAATATTGCAGTCATTTTTTTTTTCATGTACCATCCCAAATGAAATAGTCTATGTCATCATAAATTACGAAATGCCATTTTTATTTGTTACAGTAGATTCGAAGTATGTTTATCTTAAGTAAAATAACAAGCTCTTAAGTTCAGTGTTTTGTACAATAACAATTTCAAAATTAGATTGTCATAGTTAGTTAATCTGTTGGATTTAAAATCTTATTAACAATATCTTATCTTCATACTCTATATTTTCAAATGTTCTGTGAATTGATATAAAGTAATTACCTGTACGTAATGATTTACAATGTGAGGCAATGCATTCAAATTCCAGCTAAGCATTCCAAATAAAGACATCGCCACAAAAGCTTTTTCAGCAGTCAGCACATTCTCAGGGTCGATCAGAACATACGTGGCAAATGTCCCCAATGAAACCTAACAAAATGAAAAAAAAAACACTTTAAAGATCATCTGATGTTTTGTTATTGAAAATTACTTTCGTAATTTAAGTTGAAAAACTCGTGAACTTTTTAAATTATCTTTTGAGATATTATTTTTTATATTGCACTTTCGAAAATTTAACTTAAAAACTTACCAAAAATGGAGTCAAGCACCATGCCAAATGCATACAGGTACCAACAAGTGCTTGATTTCTGATGACACCCATTTCTTTGTCACGGATCGTTGATATTTGTTTCTCAAAAGAATCTTCCCAGGCATAGAGTTTCAATACCTATAAGAAAAAAATCTGAGCAATTAACCGCAAAGAATTTGTAGATACTTTTATCTATGGTCAGTTTAATAGAATCATAATTAAAAAAAAAAAAATTTTTTTTATTTATTTGTTATGTTAAACATCACACATATATATATATATATATCTAATATTGAATTTGTATAACTAAAGTCGAATGCATGCCGAAATGAAAAACTCACCTTAATGCCATTCAAAACTTCATTCATCATTTTAACTCTGTTGTCTTTCAAATCCATAACCTCTAACTGAAAAAGATTTAATTAAATTCACAATTATCAATCTAATTTTTCAAATACTATATAATTGTAAATAGTTTTTTGTAATTTTTTTCCAAATGCGTTAACACTAATTAGAAATTTATTTAACTGGAATTAATATCACGAGATTTACGTTGTTGATTAAAAATAAAAGTAAATGTTAAAAAATATTTGACTTACATGCAAATCTTTTCCTTTTTTAACCAAAAACGAGTTAAAAGGTATGAGAACAATCACGATGCCAAGTCCAATGAATGCTGATACTCCAAGCGTCTGCCAAAGTAAGAACAGCGTGGAACAGAACATAAATGGTATAGTCCAGAGGTAATTTATGTTATGGAAACAAGTAGAAATTCTACCAGCATCTACAGACAGCAGATTGACTATTTCTCCTGATGTTGAAGATTTCTTTGCTGAATTGGAAAGTCTTAGGGTCTAAAAAAGAAAATGGATATAAGAATATTTTGTAATGTCCATTACATCTAATAAATAATTTCTTTCACCTAAATCAGTTCCCATATATTACTCTTAATATTCATCATTTCCTTGAATATTTATTAAAAAATAATCAGAGGAATATGAGTTTGTTCCCTATCTCTGACAAAAGATATAGTGAATTTACCTTTTTGTATATGACTGATGAAATTGCTATCCACATACGCCTTTCACCGCTACAATTTCTCAGTCCTTGTTGAGTTTCAAAAATGGTTTTGCCAATGGTGAGTCCAAACATCAATATAGCGTACATATATCCTTCCCACAATGCATTGGTATGATCTTCAGTAAACTGAATTAATAATCTGCAAAATACAAAAAAAATTTAGATTGGTTGATTGGTTATTGGTTGCTTAACGTATATTAAAAATAAAATATATATATATATATATATATATATTGTTTTGGTATGTGAAAATACACGTTATAGCCAACAACAGCTACTGAAAAAATTCACAGATGCTTAAAAGTTGACAAGTTTCAGTGAAAATGAATATAAAAGTAATTATGCTATAAGTTTTGTCTACCTTTCTTACATACCTAAGGACAAAAGGAGTGAGCAATCCAAAAATACTTGATAGTAAATTCAGCATAGCTGCACCTAGTACATATGGTCCAAACGCCTTTAATAAACATTTAACAAGTTGTGGCTGTTGTTTTAATACTTCGTTTCCTTTGTCCGTCTTCTTTGTTGTTGAAAGAACACAACTTCTGCAAATTTAAGAATGCAAAATATATATTGGAAAATCAGATGTCATGTATCAGAACTGCCTGTTAAAAAGCTTTATCATTCTATCGATTCATATCAACAGAGACATATTGTATTATATGTCTCTGATATCAATTTACATTTCAAGAGTATTCAACATTAGTATTAATTTTCGAACTGGTAATGTCAAAAAGGTTATCTAAGAGATAGAAGATATACAACGCACCTTTTTATATAATCAACTTCCTGATTCCAGTATTTTTCAAATCGTGGTACAACACATGCTGAAGTATCCTCTTCATTCAATGGAAATAAATCTTTTCTGTCTAATTTTTGTCTGTATCCTTTCATGACAAGTCTGTAAGTAAAGATTTTTTTAATAATTACAACTTAACTTCTGTGAAAAACACTACATAAATATACATACATCTTTCCTTGTACTTTACCATATAGTCGGATCTTAGATCCTAGCTCACAAGGCAACAGTACGTAGCCAACTCGGACACATTAGTCCGATTCCGAGCCCAGAACTCTGTGCGTTTACTCCTAAGTGTCGCGTGTTTTGCATATTATGGAAAAACAAAGACATTACCTCTCAGAAAAAGTGTTCGTCAATAAGACAACAACCCAATGACAAAAATAACCAAAAACATCTGGAGGACATTTTCCATGCAATTGTTAAACAGAACTTCTGATATATTTTTGATAAACAAAATATGTACTAACTAGTTAATTCAATCTTAATACACTTACTTTGTACAATATCCGAAAGTAAGCTTGGAAAATAAAGATGCGCTTCTCTCTGAGGTCGATTCCTAAAATAAATAAATAAAATACATCAATACACTAATGGAAAACGTTACTGAATGATTATATGAATAAAGAAATATATAGATAGAATTGGGATTTTATTTTTGTTTTAGGCGAGATTTTTCAAGAATGAAGATAAAAGGGGATTCAAGTATATTAGTACTCGCCTTGGAAGTTAAAAAATATTTAAACAGAAGTTCTATTTTCAGCTTACCTCTTCTAATTGAGATTTCTGTTCTTTCGTTGTAGAACAATGAAGGTATGCTTGCGTCAGTGTAGTCAGTACCAATAGCACATACAATGCAAATAAAATGCCATTCATAGTTCCGTTTGTGATGTATTTCTGAAAATATAATTTCATATAACATTCATCCACATATTTTTATCATATATTTCAATTTATCCAAAATTATGTATCTTTTTGAATTAAATCTAATGCAAGTTATGATTAAAAATGAGCTCGTGATTTATTATGCAATAATTTTTTTTTTTTTAGAAAACTGTCACATTGTGGAATATCCTCTACTTACCATCTCGAATTCAACAATAACTGATGTAAAGGTTCCCATAACATTGCCATTTTCTCCAATCATTTCCTGAATGTTCTTCATCATGTAACATGTTGTTAGAAGAGCGATCAGTCCTGTGAGGATCTGAAAACGGAATAAAAAATAAGTCACTTGAACATATGTGAATATTTTATCTTTTTTTAAAACACATTTACCTGTTTTAAAGTTTCTTAAAGCTACAATTTTTTTCGCTTCTTTCTTTTTAACGGTATATATCAAGTTTTTTTTTCATACCATTTGGGTTGCATTTCAAACATTTTGGATAGATCACATTGTACAACCGTCTAGGAAAAGTAGAAATTTTGTTGCATAAAAATTTAATTGAAAGTAAAATGTACAGATAACAAAAGCCCATAAGACAAAGATAAAGTTTTATTTCCTTCAATCAAATAAACAAAAACTTACAATTCTAAAATTGACTAATCTTTTAGAACATCTTTGGTCCTTCTTTCTACTTTTAATCTGGAAAAAGCATAATGGAACACCTATCAACAAAAATGCAAACGTACTCCACTGGCATGTTGGCATTTGTAAATTCTCTGTCAAAACTGTTTGTGTCGTGTTTATATTCTCCTGTAGCGTCTAAAAGGTAAACACATATAAACATGATAATATGAATATAGCGAGCGATAAATGTGCATACTAGAAAACTATAGCAAATTATAGCGCTTTGATAGCAGTTATTAGTCTTGAAAAAGAAGTCTCTTTCCAATTGACATAAAACAATAAATTGAATTCAAAACTGGTACTGCCTTTTTAATATATATGTTGCATGATTTATTAATTCCAACAACACAAATGGTTTAGACGTAAACAATAGTATATCATGCAGATTCGCTTGTCCATAGAATAACCATCACCGTCACAGGGTAGATAGTTTAGGCCTATTCCAATCCATACACATTTAAATAAAACATCTAAAACACTAAAAGATTTGAAGAACTGAAAAAATCGAAATGGTAAACTTTACTAAATACTATTTTTCTTCTCCAAAAATGACTTAAATGTTAGAACAATTTTAGACAATACTGATGATTTCATTTTACTTTATTACTTTAACAATAATGTTCAACCATTTGATATTATATGATGCATTCATATTACCCGTAAACCCACCATAAATGATCGATCACAATATATTGTGTCTTCCATGGTAAGATGTACAAGTCTTGATTGCTAGTTTGTTGTATACCATGGCTAGACTTATCAGCATTTATATAGGCTGAGGATTATAACAATAGAAGTTCAAACTGAACCATAAATTCCCCTTTTCCATCCGACTGACCATGTGGGAGATACTTAAATGTCTACGGCTATTTAAAGTCTGTTTGTTTACATTGGTGACCCTCGTTCATACCATTTAATTTTATCGATTATTGGTTGAGTATAATATGGATTCTCCATATATTAATAGACTATGCTTACATTTTGAACTTCACAATAATCTTATTGTTAAACAATGTCTGTGTGAGTGACGTCAGTAACATGCAATGAAATCAGAGAGAATTCCCTTTAATTTTAGAGTTGAATGCATACTGATTTCGTTAATATGTTAAATCTACATGGTCATCAAAGGCATTTCCTAACTTGTGTCATTTGCATTCATTATATTAAAATGTTATTAAAGAATGATTCAACTACAAGTTTAAAAATCTTTTATCTTTTAACATAATGATAATACTAGCTAGGTATTAAAAAGGGGGGTATAAAAGCTGATGTGACAACAATCCAAAAAGGAGTGAAAAAATCAATGAAAAAGCGAGGTCAACATACAGGACTGGTTGATGTCGGAGAACTGTCCATATCATATAACTCCAATTCGCCAGGGGTTAGAACAATTTTGATTTACAGATAACCTGAACACCAAATACTTCTTTCGTTAAAACTCAACATGCCTCTTGTAGGATGGTCTCGATGGAGTCTTCATTTTTTATTTAAGATTCTTGATTTTAGGCCTTTTTTCTGATTTTTTCTGATTTCTTGACCTGGCTTATAATTCCGTATGCTAGACACGCTATTCGCCTATGTATACAAAAAAGATTCATCATTTGCGCTCGAATCAGTTGAAGACTAAATTAAATATGTAAAAGAAGGTCAATTGAAACCAAATTTAAAAGAAATTGTGCCAAACACAGCTACGATCATCTATGACTTGGGGGTACATAAACCTTAATGTTTCAAATGAATCAAAATTCTATAAAATATATCAATGATATTTCATGTTAACACAGAAGTGCTAACGTCTAGGTGGGTGATAGCATCGTAGATGAAACACACACAAGCAGTGGCATCCACCAAGTGCTTGTAAAAACGCATCAAAGCTGCATACATACGCGCGTCTCATCTTAATGAGACTCATATGAGACTCATCAGGGGCGCTCGAATGAAAATAGTTGGAAGATAAATTAAGCAATGAAACTGAAGAGCATTGAAGTACCATTGATATGAAAAAAAATACAACTAAAAGAAATATAGAAATGGGGAACAAAGTGGGGGAGGATAATAACGGTGAGATTTCTTAAAGTTTTGTTTATCAAAAATGGTTAACAAATCATTAGTGTGTTCCATTATACCAGTTTATATATATTCTAGAGGTCAATATCGTTTCTTCTTATAAACACTTCTCTGCTGATACTAAATATCATTGATACGACAATTTTCTCTATATTTACTTTTCATAAAATCTGGGGGGCATAACTTTTGAAACCAAATCAGGAACCTCGTCAGCTGTTACCTTATGTCATATCTTGATGCTTTAGGCGATTTTTTTTTTGGGGGGGGGGGGATTTTGGTGCCGATGGTGCCAAAAACTCATCAGATAGCAAGCGTATAATTTGATTCGCCAGACGCGCGTTTCGTCTACATTAGACTCATCAATGGCGCTCTAATATAAAAGTTGGTAGCCAAAATAAAACACGAAGTTAAAGAGCATTCAAAACCAAAAATTCCGAAAAGTGGCAAATACGACTATTAAAGGCCACCTATGTCTTAAAAGGAAGAAAAAGCTTTAAGTGTTTCGCATAATTCAGATTTTTAATATTTCATGTCAACACAAGTGCTGACTATTTGGTTGGTGATACCCTCGGGGATGAAACGTCCACCAGCAATGGCATCGACCCAGTGGTTGTAAAACACATAAAAAAGATACTATGCTAATGCCGGATGCGCGTTTCGTCTACATAAGATTCAAATATATTTGATTTAAACATCTTTTTAGACTCGGGTAAATTAAGAGTTAAACGCCTGTTTACTGTATAAAACTGTATGTTGACTTTTACATGCCTTAATTTGTTTGCTGTCTCATTGACAAATATCACACGCCTACTTTCCTTCATTTGGATCAGAGCTGGATGATACCGAATTGTCGATCGGTGTTCGGAAATGAATTTTTGCAAACTTTTAACGAGTAGATTCTTTGTCAAGTTCCTGCTTAGTTGAGTTTCTTTCACATGTTTAGAATCAACCATATATTTTGTTTGATTTCTCATTCGTAAGCAATGACGAGGTTCTGAATTTTATAGTTTTTTTTATTCGTAAATCTTGAAAACCACGTGTATGAATTGTGTAAAGTGATCTTTTGGACTTGTGTTTGATTTGTTTGAGAACAAATCACAAAATTTTACGGAAGATTTTTCACTCCAATAACTTATAACTATTGAATTCTTCTGAACTACTCCAAGGTTCAACTGAAGTATAGAAATATGGAAACTTGAAACTCTTCCGTTTGGCAATAAGGCCTTGCTGGACACATAACCGACTGCACATACGCAGCCATGTGCGGTCGGTCATGGGCATCAAAAATAAATATGATATCCCGCGTAGGAAAGTTGTACGCACTCTACACATTAAAATAATTGCAACAACTCTTTGGAGGGTTTTAGGTTCATGGAAAAAATAATGCTCTTATACAACAGACCCTCTTTTTTTCAGTGGCATTCGAAATTTCCAGCCGTCTTTCTACCAGTAGGATTTTTTGTTAACTTATTCTCGTCATGAATAAAGGATTAAATATTTTCAACTCATCGTTCAGCAAATTATAATAAAAAAATTATTAACCAATAATTCTTTAGGACACGGCGTATAAATATATAAAAGTGACCTTCTTTAAATGAAGTCTTTGTGATTTGTTCGAGACTAATCGGAAAAAATTATAAGAAAACTTCTACTTCATTCTCAATTGAAATGTATTGTTACTAGTGAGGTGCTTAATCATCGACATATATGTTAACATAAACAAAGATGACAAGAAATTTCAAAATCAAAATCACTTGTCGATAGTTCTACGGTTTGCCCGGCCCGACCCTCATTGCATAGTTAGATAATTACATTTTGAGCTAGAGTTATCTCGCTTTGCTTTTGTCGAATTACCAATAATCGATATCAAAGGAATGACAACTTAATTGCCACGAGAAAGCATGTCCTAAACTTCCACAATAATAAGTACTCCACCTCTCAAACACAGGATCCTTTTTACTACATCCATATGAACAGCTAACACGTAACGTCGTTACAGCTATACAAAGGCCTGCGATACATACTTTACTTCATTAAAATCAGTTGGTGACGGTTGTTATTCAACCGTTTTAAGTATAAAGATCATTTTCATATGTAAATGCATATCTAACTCTTTCTTGAATTATATCTACAGAGGTTTATGGTGGACAGCCATATACTAGAAATATAATCAAACAAATATTTGCACCCTTGATTGACACTTACACAATGTTATAAGAACGGATCCATATGCTCATAGATTAAAATGTTAAAATGCAAAAAAAAAACAACCACATTAATATTTTAAAATTGATACATTTCATCTTCGGTCTCCCGACACCAGATGAATTCATGTATTTTTTATTTTTGTTTTATAGATGCAATCTTTTGAATTCTTTGTCTTTTACCAGGAACTAGGTTTATGAACTAAACATAAAAACAAATGATGATACAAAAATTCGATGATTGCTATATCTCAATTGATTAAATGGACAATGAACTTATCAGGATGAAGTATATAATCTTAAGTTGATTTTGTTTAAACAAACATGTCTTAACAAGGCAAACTTTCTGTATGAATCTATAATAGTTTATTGAATTTTTGAACCCCAAAATGTATCTTGCTGTGACGTTGCGAATAAAAGATCAAACAAGGTGTCAGTACAAGTATATGGATTCAAATGAGTGTGAAAACAGAAAGAGTGATATTTGTTTGGTCGTTTTGCAAGATTTTCTTTGAAATCTACCAGATTCCCCTTCCTAATTTATACCAATGTGGACTGGTCATTGTTATTGAACTTTGTTTAGGTTAATTGAAATAATGTATTATTGGTTCACCTTTAACCTGTTTAAAATTCTCCATGCATGTAAACATGTTAGGAAATAACCGTTTGAGGAGACAAAAGAGTAAATACTTATTTTCATATACATAATATTTAAAGGACTATATTTTTATGAAATAAAGGAGTCGACTTTATATAGGGTTTTTAAGGATTTGTCGTAAACATGAAGCAAATAACTAAATACTTTTTTGTCGGCAAATTAGCAAATAGAGTTATTAAAAAAAATGTAAATAACACTTTATAAATTTGTTGAGTCCGTTTTCTAGGATTTTCTTCATCAGAAACGCTCATACACCAAACATTGAAAGACAAAGATGTATAACTATCCAAACACGTGGAGAGCTATATGATCATGTTGGTATTCCCATTAGAACCAACTTTGGTTCATTCATATGAGTGAAACGTCATTAAAGGACTTCTCAGGACGTATTTCATGACATTGCTTGGGTGCAATCAGAACAGCTGATTGGGTGGAAAAGTAAGATAAGATTACTTTTCGGTCCTTTGAATTCGAAAATAGAAAAGTACTATAAAGCTACCAAATAATATCTTCGGATGTTCATAAAACATTCGTCTGACATATATCAGTATTCAAAGTTTTGAATTTTATCTCATATAATTGCATCTTATTTGCTTACATACTTAAGTGCTTGCATTTTCTTCTAATATTTCATTGGTGCAGGATGGCTGCTAACATGGAAGCTACTTAAAGAATTGATATTAAGAGTAAAATCGAATTCCTCTCATCGAAAGTTTAACAGACGCCTTTGTTGTAACGAAAGAATTGCACCATGATGACCATCGATTTGTTCGAAT